GGAAACAGATTAATACAGACTGCTCCGCCCTTTCAGGTATTGAACTTGTTCTCAATCATTTGCAGTCCTTGTATTAGTCTTAAACTCTGTATTCACATGGAGGGAGAGGGTAAATTCCTTTAGAACAGGAGCCTACAGCCATCTCAGCAAATTAGATACCTTAGATACTCACAGATGTTTAAACTACTCACCGAATTTGCCTCACGGCTCCCCTACTTCTGGTGGTAAGCCAGTAGTACATTATCAGTGATATTAGTTGGTGTAATTTTTGTCAGTTCTTAGAACAGTACACATTTGCCTTTAGTTTTGTTTCTTTTGGACTTTTAGTCTGCAGAATTACTTAATTCCAAACTGCCTAGATGGCAGGAAACCTGTAGAGATGCCACCAAAGTCCCAGAGGAAATCATCAACATGATAGAAGAAATAAAGACCCCTGTCTCTACCCCAAAATCTGGAACGCCTCATCCTTCACCAATGATCGAGAGAAGCAACATGGTAGGTACCAGTGATCTCTGAGATTTCACTTATGTATTTACTAGTGTGATTTGGGCCATATGCGCACAGAGAACCAAAGCCTTTTCTATTAGTGGAAATCACGGGTCCTCCTCATTTCTCCTGAGGCCTACCATCTCTCACTTTTACCCACCACCTTCAGATCCGGAGTCAGCTGTGCAAATGTTTTGTACTATGCACTGTTGTCTTTGTTTTAGAAATTTTATTGTTACTGTTTTTAATTGCAATGATTCCAACTTTATAAGTTTATCCTCAATGAAGAAAGTACAGGTGTCTTAGAGAATAGATTGGCAAAACTCTGACGTCATCCATCACAATATAAGGCGCTTTAGTAAACACCAGTCACCGAAGTACTCAAGGTAATGGGTTCGAGCACTGTCGCTTGCTCTTCTTGGATCTGGGCCTTCCCCCTCTCACAGACACACGTGGAGATTTGGATCCAGCAGATAGTTTAGGCACAAGTCCACGCTGGCTCTGAAATGACAGCCAAAAGATTAAAGAGCAGCGACAGCCGACAGGATAGACCCGTAAGTGCACGGGAAGCGAGGGACGGTGCTGCCATGGGCCGAAGTGAGACGGAGTCTCTAAAAGGCCGTGGCGATGAGAACAGAAGGAACCCCGGCCCGGGGACAGGCAGGCAAGGCTTCTCCAGAGGGGGGCAGTGAGCTCAGGGCCGCGGGGTCAGCCCTGGGAGACAGCCTGGCGTTTCTCTGTCGTCGGGTGGGGTTCTGATTCAAGCCATCTGGGCCGGTCGGTCCCTTCCCTTTGTCTTGTGCTGAACAGCGGGCTTTTGTCTGCTGGCCAGCACAGCGTGTTTGGACGGAGGCGGTAGGGCACCCTCCTGGAGTGTCTTCCCTCTTCCCCACCTCACCACGGGTACCTGTGGTGACAAGAACAGGCAAAATACAGACTGTCACATACAGTAAAAAGAATAGGGGCTGCCGCACACATGAAGATAACCAGGAATCACTGAACAGGTCAGGAAACAAGCACCACAAAAAGACGCACCACAACGTGAAACAGAACGACCACTGCTGGAAGCAACAGAGCCAACAGGGCAGAGAACTAATCCAGAGAGAACGAAAAAATAGTCCATCCACAGAGAAAAGTCAACTAGAGATCTTAGAGATTGAAAATTGGATTATTATGTATAGTTAAAATGATATGTCTAGGATTTCCTTCAGAATAATCCAGGCACAGGAGATGATGGATGTGGCATACATGACACAACAGTGGCCAGCAGTATTTATCGTTGAAGCCAGGCGTTGGATACATGCGATTTATTGTGCTATTCGCCCTTCTTTTGTACCTGTTTGAAATTTTTCTAAAGTAAAAGTTTGTTTTTCATTTCTCTCTCCCCCCTCAGAAAAGAAACAGACAAAACATAACAATAGTTGAGCTCATTAGGACAATGGAACTGCTTGGAAAATTAAGCCAAACACTCTCCCAAAACACGGTGCAAAAACAGGATTTCTTTTAAAAATCAGGAGGATAAATATAATGTTAGACCAGTTGAGACATGGGCGATATGTAGATTCAGCTGCCTACTCGGCATCACCACCGGACGTGTAATGGAGATCTCACGTTCAGCTTGTCCAAAAACATAACTGATTTTCTCACTGAAACCTGCTTCTCCAGTCTTTCCCATCCAGTGAATGACAACTTCAGGCTTTCCAGTAGCTCAGACACAAAACAGCAGCTCTCCTCCCTCTTCTCTCATGCCACAGTCGACCCATGGGCACACCCTCCTGTTTTGACCTTCAAAACACGTCCCAGGTCCAGCCACCCCCGCCCCGCTGCAGCTCTAATGAGGTTCCTGCAGCTAGCCTCTGCCTGGTCTCTCACACGCAGCCAGTGTTCCTGGATAAGCGGGAAAGACCAGAATCTCGACAGGTTGCAGAGTGTTAGGGACAGAGAAAATTCTGAAGACTTCTAGGGAGGGGGGACATAGATCACTTAGAAAGAATAGAGAATCCCACTGATTCTAGGTTCCTTATTAGCAAAACAAGATGGTAGAAATTAATGGAGCAGCGCACTCAAAATTCTATGGGAAAATTATTTCAGATGTAGAATCCTATAGCCAAGTTGCACTTAAGAGAGAGGCTAAAATCTATAGAAACAGAAAGTAGATTAGTGGTTGCCGGAGGGTAGGGGGAAAGGCAGAAACAAAAGAGAGAACGAAAAAGAATGTGGTGGCATTGAAATAATTCAGAATGGGACACCTAAGACAACTTTGGGGAGAAAGTGGCATTTAAAGCATGTAAAACAAAACAGCCCTGGAAACCAATATTCAAATAATAAAGACTTTTTCACAAGTTGGGAAAAATTATGACACCCTTTCTTAATATTCGCCAAAGGTGCCCCCAGCTCCTTCAGCCAGAGCAAATACCAGCCCTTTGATTGATATGTTTAATAACCCAGCAACAGTTGCACAGAACTCAGGTAAGATATTTCTTTTGAAATACTTTTTTAAATTTTTCAAGTATCTAGATACATGCATTGTGAGGTAGAGATAAATAAGCTCGTCCGGCAGCACACTTCCAGCCTTGGCTGGGGAAACTGACACCTCACAACAAATAAAGGTCTAGGTCTATGAGAAAACCGTAAGATATTTTATAAGTGGCACCTTTCTTTGATACATACTAATTCTATATACTAACTGATGTTTACAAGAGTAAATCTATTGAAGGGTATTATTTTAAAATGGGATATAATGTACAGAGAGCTTCACACCACGGCGTATGTTCCATATTTGGTGACAATTATAATAAAATTTCAGTTTTCAATAAAACAAAGTTCACGTGACAAAACTATGGTGGTTGATCTTACCACTGTGCATAGTTCGAATTATAATCAGTGATTTTCATTGTCTCTAACAGCACATCATGCTTTCTACAGACTTAAGTTCTCACTGCTTAAACTCCTTAACTCTGTAGATTCTATTTTAATAAATCGGGACCAGTTAATTGTTTGCAGACTCAACTCTGCCTACAGAGTCTTTGGCACCCAGGACCCTTGAGACTGTCATAGTAGCTGACCCGTCTCTGTGTGGAGTGTCTCACAGGCCCCTTCATATGAGCCATGTGCTGGAGAGCCCCTGGACTATAGCGTTCACAGCTGTCGGGGAAGAGATGAGATTTTCACAATGGCAGCTGGCAAGATATAGTCTGTAGTCATTTGCCTTTGAAGGAAGGATTATAAGTTCTATATAATGTAAATGGAAATATATAATGCTGTGTGCATCCCAATTCTTCGATGACCTACTGAAAAAAAAAAATGAGAATAAAAACTAAGTGAAATTTGCTGGTGGATTCAACACCACTGAGGTAGTGGTGTGTTAAGGAGATAGCAAAGTTTATATGGTAATCATTAAGAATCTGTAAGGATAAAGCAGAAAGATCTCGCATTGATTTAAAGTGAATACTTGGTTAGCAAAATTTGGGGGAAATCTCCATTCCAATTTTTTTTGAGTGGTGAAGTATCAGCCTGTATCTGAATTGAGACATGAAGGGCACAGCCAGGGCTGCACCAGTGCGGCCCACGTCTGGCTCCTGGCTCCACCACGTGCTAGCCGAGATCCCCGGCCAGTCACTGGACGAGGAGTGCGGACGGGCACTTGGGGAGGGCTCGGTAAACGAGCTTGCCCTCACCACGTCCTCACCACACTCGGGAGAAGCCAGGCAGCCGCAGCGGCGAGAACCTCTGCATCCCAGAGCCTGCCCCCTTTCCTTTGTGACCCAGGTCGTGGGCAGTTTGCCTTGATGCCTCCACTGCCTCGTGATTCATTTTGAGGTGCAGGGGAAGGAAGAGTGTCAGGCCGTCTGCTGGCGGAGCGGTTTGCCTCTCAGCCACCCCGACTGAGGCAGTGCGGGTGACGCCCGGCATGGCCCCGGGGACCCTCCTCTGTGAGAGACCTCGGGCCCTGGCTCTGCCCGTGTTCCTTGCAGCCCCTGTCCATCCAGGCAGGGACAGCGGTGTGGAAATAGAACGCGCTTGGGGTCTGAGGAAAGTGACTGCTGGCAGGATGGGAATCGGGGGTGTCTGGGGCCTTGCATGTCGGAACTGGCCTGAAAAGCCATCATTGCGTGTTCGTTTTCAACCGATTCTTCAGATGATCCCAGTTTACAGCGATCGGTTTCTGTTGCTACTGGACTGAACATGATGAAAAAGCAGAAGGTAAAAACCATCTTTCCACATACGGCCGGCACCAACCAGACCTTATTGAGCTTCGCACAGGGAGACGTCATCACACTGCTCATCTCGGAGGAGAAAGACGGCTGGCTCTACGGAGAACATGACGCCTCCAAAGTGTGAGTCTCAGGGGGCGAAATCGCGCAGCTGTCGTGAGGCCAGCACGTCAGAGCTCCTGTCTTTCCTTTGAGCCCCAAATAGTCTTTGTGGACATACGAGCATTTTAGCCAAAGTTAAGGTCACAGTTTATACTTCTGGTTTAGTTAACTGCAGTTACTCTGTCCCACGCCATTTTCTGCATATATACACACAGATACATTTGATGCATGAGCAGATCATTAAATCATATGAAATCACCTCTGAAAGTAGGTTTAAATATTCTCGTTTTTGAAAAAAGTGACTGCGATTTCTCAAGGATAAACTGCATATCAGATCTATGGCAAGAGTTAGCACATAGTTTACGTGCCAGCTTCATCGATTCACCCATGAGAACGTGCACAAGCCTTACTTGCAAGTAGGTTAAACTGGTTTTGTGTAGATTATTCAGCTATTAAATAAAACCAAAGTGGAAAAGACTAAAAGGGAATCCAAATAAAATCAGTGCTATCTATAAAACACGTTGTGTAAAGTGGTAAAACGAACTGGCCTGCCCGAGTTGTCCTTAGTGGGTCACTGTCCACTTGTCTGCGGCTAGTGCCACAGCCAGCCCTTTTCTCTCACTCTTCACACGCAGGAGGGGTTGGTTCCCATCGTCATACACAAAGTTGCTGGAAGAAAATGCAAAGGAGGCGGTGAACGTGCCCTCCCCAAGGTAGGACTTGACCGGGGCTCACGTCTGCCAGGGACAGAAAACATGACCTGTTTCCGGGCATGTCAGAATTCTCTGGGTATGCATCGAACCCCACGGGGAAGTCCGGAGCCTGGGCACTAGTAAGCAGGAGATCGCTCGTGGCTTGTTTCCTTGTGACTTCCATTTTCCATGGAAATGATTTTCCTGTCTGTGGTGAGGCATGCCGCAGACCCACTCGCCGGCCCTGTCACGGTCCTCCACCACCCACTGGTGGCTACGTCCCAGGCCACATCTCCCTCTGGTCCTACTTAGCAGCCTTTAACACTGGAAACACTTTTTTCGAAATGTTCTCCTGCCTTGGTTTCTTGGCATTGGCCTTGCCCTTCCCCAGACACCCCTTCCAGTCCCTTCCAGACCTCTCGTCTGCCTACTCACTGCTTAATCGGACCTCAGTCCTTTTTCCCTCTCTCCTTACTGGGCCATCCTGTCAACTCCCGTGGCTTGAGTTACTCCCCTGGGCTTTGCTTGGCACCTCTCATCCATAACCCCTAAATCTGTACTCCGACCCCGCTAATAATTACATCGTATTGTGTGTTCTGTCATCTCCTGCCGCACCCATTTATTATTCATCTGTTGTAGTTCTGGCCACAGATATTTAGGATGTTTAAGTTTCGGGCGGCAGGACCTCCTCTAACTTGTCTTCTCCCGTGGCGGTGGTCAGCCCGGCACCAGTGAGGAGCATGAGCACGGTGGACTTGACCGAGAAGGCCTGTGCTGCCATCGCCCTCCCCCCGCCCGACTACTCGGAATGCCTGGCCAGGGGCACGGACGTGTCCAAACCTCCTTCTACCTTTAAAGCACCCGCGTCCAAGCCGGAAACCGCGTCTCCCGTGAGTACGGCCATATGGCGTGGCATCCCAGTGCCTGAGTCCTGCGTAGTGGTCTCTGGAGGGATGTAGGGAGGTGGTGACCCTTGGGAGGGGGTGGGCGCTCTCTGCTGGCCCCTCTAGACCCCCTTCTCTGTCACGTCTTCCAGCTTCCTCTCCCTTAACTTCAGTCCTGTTTTATGTTATCTGTAAGTGGCGATTTACGGAGTGAGTCCATCATATGCCAGACTGTTCGGTTTTCATCTCTCCTTGCTTTTGGTAATGGCTGTAGCCTTTAGTCATTTCATCGTTTCCCTGCATTCTCTTCAGTTTTTCATCTTGTTTTCTGAAGGATAACCTAATCCGTATGCTAAAGTGTATGCTTCGGACCACATGCTGTATAAACTGTGCGTGTGCATTGTCTTTGATCCCGAACTCTGTAAGACAGTAGACATGCATCAGTGCTTTGACAGCAGTGTTTCTGAGCACCAGGCCCTGGTGTGGGCTCCGGAGATACACAGATGAGCAGAGGGCCATCCGCCAGTAGCATTCTTGTACCCCGGAATCAGTCCCTCAGTCCCGAAGGGGCTCTAGATGGCACCTGACTACCTACAGCAGAGGACTACTTCTCTGAGGAGGTGACATCTAAGTTGAGACCTGAATGGCGAGGAGCCCACCATGCAGGGGTCAGGGGGAGGAGCTTCCCAGACAGAAGCAGCAAAAAGTTTAAAGCCTTGGGGAGGGTGCAAGCTCGAGGGACAGGGAAGGTGAAGAGTCCAGGGTGGCGGAGGGGTTGAGGGGGGCTCTTTTTTTTTGTTTTTCAACATAAATTATATGATGGAGGAGGAAGGATGAAGACCAGGGAGACACTGAGGAGGCAGGAGCACGTGTGAGGACGCGGGGGGGGGCGCAGTGGGGGGGGCTGCCCCGGGCGTTGCTGTTCGCCCACGCCCAGGTGCCAGGCGGCGAAGCTCGTCAGCGGACGGGGCTCCGCAGAGTGGGGGGCACATCTCATATGAACTAGGTGTTTTGAAGGCCACGCCCTGGGCCTCCCAATGCGAGCTGTCCTCACTGGGTGGACGAGGGCACTGCCACATCTGGCCTGGAGGTGCCCTTCACTGAAGAGAGGGGAGCATGGAACGCCGTACAGGTTTTGAGACAGTGGTCAGTTGTGACAACAGCAGTGGGCTTGGTGAGAAGTGTTAAAGGGGAGACCTTTCTGGAAATGTCCTACTTTTCATAGTAGGCATTGAAGAATGCACTAAACAGAAGGGCACACTGACTCTCCACGGAGCAGCTGGTGACCAGCACCAGGTCACGAGCCAGGACGTGACCCACCCCCAGCCGCCGCCCCCCAACCCCCACCCCCTCCGAGCTGAGCTGGGCTGCGTGTCCTTCTGTGGCATCCAGTGGTTGTGGGGCGTTGGCTGATAGAAGGTGGTTGCCCCGTCTGTGGACATTCGGACTGTGGTGCCCATGTGTGTTGCTTGAACGAACCAGGAGTGCGCTCATGGGGGCGCGGGGCGGCCCCAGGACCCGCCCACGCTGCGGTTCCGGGCTGTCATCTCAACAGATGTTGTGCCCTCCTCCTTCGCAGTACAAGTTGTTGCTTCTTGTCACTTTACTTTCAAGGATGAGACATTTCTCTTCCACCTTTGCTTCTCTGCAGTGTTGTGGGCTAAGCAACCCAGGTAACGCGAGGGGGCTGGGAGGGAGGCCCTGCGGGAACACGCGCCGGGGTTTGCCTTGAGGACATTTGGGGGGGCGCTCTCAGGTGGGGGTGTTTCTGGTTGCCAGTTCAGGTGCGGAGTGCTCCTCAGACCTGATATGTGTGGTGGGGAGAGACTTGTGCCCGAGGAAAGGCAAGAAGGGGTGGTTTCCAGTGAGTGTCACACACAGGCCACGGGCTTGGCAGGAAGTGCACTTCCCAGGCCAGGACACAGCTGCCCCTCCCCCTGGTCCTGGCCACAGGAACCTTTTCACATGTGTGCTCCTGTGCCTCCCAGCTCTGGCGGCTCTCGTTCTGAGCTTTGAATTTGAGGCGACACGTTAACGGGTGGGACTGTGTGTCAGGCATCTGGTGTATTTTTTAAATAAGTTAGAAATTAAACATAATCACATGCTGGAAGTCAGAAGTGCATGCTCTGGGGCCGGCGGACGGAGCTCAGCTGGGCCTGTCGGAGGAAACCATTAGTCCCTGTTAGGATGCACTGAGGAGGGCTGCGGTGCTCCCGTGAGAAAGATACTGCATCCAGACTCTGCCTCCTAGGTGCCCCATCGAGGTGACTGACCTTGCTGACCTACTGCCCACACCCCGCCCCCGTTCAAGATGTGAGGTCCTCAGGTCCCAAGACAGCAGGTGCAGGCCTGAAGTGGCCCATGTCCCTCGCCCTCCCTCTGCCTTGAGAGTCAGTAGGTCCAAAACCCAGTAGAGGCCAGAGGAGCCCCAGTGTGACCTTCAACCCCGGCCGGAAGCCAGGGAAGCTGTCTGGTCTAATTCAGAGCCCTGTGTGCCCGAGACCACACGCACACTGACCTCTCCAGGCGGCCAGTGACTTCTTAGGACAGCCAGAGCAGACTGAGAGCTGATTCCTAAAGCTGCCAGCTCTTTGGAATGAAGGCAGACACTGAGTCCCGGCCACAAGGGGAGACCCCCCAAGTCCCTGGGATGCAGATGAGGCCCAGCGCTCCCTAAGGACTGCCGGGCACCTGCAGGGCTCGGGGTCCCTAAAGGCAATGCGGTGTTGGCACGTTCGTGTGCGCGCTTCCTCCTCGAACTTCCGGCAAGATCTCTGGGTAGCAGTGAGCACTCATCTATGGGCACCAAAACCCAGCAAGGCTTTAATTACCGTTTTTCATGGCATCATTCAGGAGTGGGCTCCCCAAAAGCCAGCTGCAGTCACTAACTAGTTTTGCAACTGAAAGGCCAAGGGCAAGGGGCAGCAGACCCTGCCAAGCTTTCCGAGTCTGAGACGTCCCAGCACTTAGGAAGGGACCCTCACATCTTTTCAAACGTGTTCCCTTCTTGCCATTATTCTTTCAACTGACTTTACAGATACCTGGGTCATCTCAAATGAATCGAGACTCCAGGGCACTTTTCACCATTTGTTGCTTTAAACAGTCCCTTGTTTTAGGTGCCTTTACCTTTGGGTCTTATTTAAAATGTCTCAATTTCACGAGCCTTCCATAAACTTCACCTTTATCTTTCTCACAGAATAACACGAATGGGACGGCAAAGCCTCCTTTCCTCAGGTATGTCTAACTCTCCTAAAGCCCTTTCAAGCTGGAAGTTGCCACCTCCCTGTTAGTGAGTGGCCTGTAGTGTCCCCACGAAGGGCTTGCCTCGGTGCACAGGAGACACACGCCTGTAGGGTCAGGAGGCCGCAGCCACCTGCGCTCATCACAGTCCAGGGAGGCATGCACCTGGGGCCAGAAGGGCAGTCTCCTGGTCACATGCTGCATTTGGTGGCTTAATAATCCAGCCCTGGTCCTCTGTGGCTCTCCCACATAACACGTCTCCCACCCCCGCCCCCCAGCGGACAGACTGCAGAGAGCAAACTGCAGTTCTGTCACAGGCGGCATGGAGAGAACTGCCAGAGTGAAACTGTCACAGTCAGCAAATGCTGTCTGGAATTTATGTGAGCTGTAGAATTTCACAGAGCACGGACAGTAGTTTTTAGCGCTTTTAAAATTAAATTCCCATCTTGCACTATTTCTGCAGACATTTTTCTTCTTCCCCACAGTGGAGAAAACCCTTTTGCTACTGTGAAACTCCGACCAACGGTGACAAACGACCGATCGGCACCCATCATTCGATGAAAAGACAGCCACGGGGCTCTGGCTCTTCTGTGTTAAGTTCTCACTCGCGAAACAGTGGGTAGAGTTTGGTGTGGGCTGTAGCTGTCGTGCCGCTTCACCAGAGCACACCTGATTTAAAATGTCTTCTACTTGAGCAAATCAATGCATTTTCTCAATTTCACATAGTTGGGGTTTGCACATTGTCTTTAAGATAAATTAATTTAGTGACCAAGTCAATCATTTAAAATTTTTCTCAAAAAATAGTAAATTTGGTTCCAATCCTTACTGTATCACTTTTTAAGTAGTCTGATTATGTTTTAAGTAGCCAGGATAAGGGACAGTCAATGCTTTCACAACTGGCTTTCTGTACCTGAATGAGAATGAGATCAGTTTTGTTTTATAAAGCACCTGCTCTGAAGTAGCATTATGACGTTTATGCTAAAGGAACATTGTGTAAGTTTACATCTTAGCATGCAAATTATTTTAAGCAATATAAATTATGGAAATATATAAAATTTAATTTTTTAACTTAAAATTTTTGTTTAATCAAATGCAGAGCTACCCAGATGGACAAATCCTAAACTTTCTCATGATTTAGACATAGCTGTAGAGCACCGATAAACTGTGCCTATCCCTATCACAGCCATGACATTTAGTACTTGAATCAACTTTCCAGAGTTACTGAATTTGGTAATTCTGAGTTACCAACTGAATTGACCAATGAAAACCCGCCAGGCCAAAGCAGTACACGGGTCTGGCTCACACGTGCATCTCGGGATTCCACGTGCAGAAACCGGGGTGCTCTCGCTAAGCTTCCACCATCACTAAATTTACATCTCTTGGGGTCCAAATTTCTCCACTTTTCAACCAGGTACTGACTCGTGAACAGACCGATAAAGCCAGGAGGACCCTGTGAGCCTGGGTCTGGTGACTGGGAGGGTCTGCATCTTAGCTGAGACCTGGCCTCCGTGGGAGGAGACTCTGAGCAAGTGGCCAAACGCCTCTGGCTACCAGGGATTTAGGCCCCATTTCAGAGGAGTGGAGAATTGTGATTAAAATTCACAGCCAGGCCAGGCACTGTGATGTAGGCAGGGAAGGGGGCTTGTTGCTGATCATAGCATTTGCTCCTTCAGTCTCCCCATAAATACTATTTTTCCTAAAAAAGCTTGAAATTGATCAAGGTCAAATGCAGGTATAACCAGTGTAAGTGTATGATGTTTCAGGTTCATAGTCTTATCCTCTTCCTGGCTGGGTCGGCTAAAGACTATGTGAGGGCTCCCCCAGGACCGACTCAGGCAAAGTGCAGTTGTCAAGCAGCACACCTGTCTTGAGAAAAGACCCTCCAGTCAGCGAAGAAACCACAATCAAATTCAGTTAAACTTAGGGAAGAGCAGGCTTCACAGAAGCCCATTATTTTCAACAGGGGGAGAGAGAACACGGTATAAGTTTTAGAAGCGAGAGGGGTGGGGGAGTGTCACACCCTGGCCCCCCAACCTCTAGATCCCCACCCACTCTGGGGCCTTCCAGCTTTGTTACAGGGTCACACTGGGCCTGGACTCTTGGATCAATTTGTAGACCCACCTGACTCCCCCAGCCCCAGGCTACACCTAACAGAATGTATTACAGTGGTCACTTACCTGCCTCACAGGATGGGGAGGCTTGCCTTGTCCTTGGCACCGAGGTGCATGTTCTGTAAATGTCAAGGTATTGTTTCATTATAATAATAAAAGAACTCGAAAACATTTTCTTGAGTTTGAAATGCCAACAAGAAATAACACGAGACCAGCGCTGACCACGAGTTGCAGTGTTGCAGCGAGGTGGTGTGCATGTGAGCTGTTGTCTGTTTTGTTTGAAATAAGTTTGAAATTTTCCAAACAGAACACTACTTCTGTGAGTGGCAGTGTACAAATACTGAATAAGCAGAACCAGGTAAACAATGGTATGAATTTCATTTATTTAAAACAGTATTTCTCACCTTTTCTCACCTTTCTCAAATTGAAGACTGCAAAAAATAAAAGCAGTGCTTTATTGAGTTGTCGTTAAACCCCGGGAGCAGTGTTGCTGCGTGTCCATACTCTGTGACCCCCGTGCCCGGGACCCGGCCTGCACGTGCCGAGTCTGTCCCACCTCCCTTTACAAAACAGTCCTGAAGCGGAATCAAATAAAGCTCCTGTACACGACATTTACATCAGAGAAAGCCAGCTGGGTGCAGGAAAGCCAGGTGTGCTGTTCCCTTTAGGTAAAGGTTGCTCCACAGTTAGGGCATCTTCGCTTCCTCAAGGCGAAACAGCAGATGAACCCAAAGGGGAACAAGATGATGGCCAAGAAGATGCCCAGGAAGGTGAAGGAGTCCTCCAGGACCCCGACTCTGTGGAGAGAGAGGGCAGCACTCGGGTTAGGGCCCTCGGCCTGATGTCCCAGCGGACCCCTGACCCAGAACCCCTGGCCCCTCGCACACAAAAGCAGAATGACGAGGACCCCTGGTGCCTCAAGGTGACTGTCTGCAAAGACGGCCCTTCACCCTGCCGGGCGTGGCTGCATGTGCCACAGAGAGGAAGACGAACGACTATCAGTCACCACTCAGAAAACGTGAACATCACTACTTACAAAGGCAAGAACATTCAGTTACCATGTAATCTGCTACATTTTCTTTACAGAAGAAGGAAATGCTAGTTCCTATAAAAATCCTTGCATCTCTGAAAACAGCAAGACCAAGAAAACCACATCATTTGAATGTTTTTTCCCAATGTCGAAAAGTTTTACAGTCACATCTCCCTAAAAGGAAATTCCAAAAATAGGGATAGAGTTCAGAATTGTTTGCTTTTTTGGGGGTGGGGGGAGCCGATTTTAGTTGAAAGACTTAAAATAGCCATGTCTCGCTTACCTTGAAAAAATTTCATCTCAAAGCTGCTGCTTCCGGAAAAAGTCAAGTTCACCTTTAACACGCACAATATATGATACCTAAGACACCTAAAGAGCATCACCCAAATCACGTGCCAGTGAGTGTAGGTGCAGGAACCTGAAGTCACCACTGTTGCTAGGGTCATTTTCAAAGGCCCCAGAAATGGGAAGCAGGAGCCACGTGCTCAGCTCCACCCCTGCTCCTTAGCCTACTTCTGGAAAGCTCGGTACAGAACTGAAATTAAAGTGAGACCCGCAATAGCCAGCTCAACCAAAGGAGAAATGTGTCACTCCCAGGAGCCAGAGAAAGCCAGCCGGACCAAGCTCCTCCCTGGGTGGCCAGGGCACCACCCTATGACCTGAGGGCCTGTGGCAGGCAAGACACTTCACCAGAATTCATCAGACAAAATAAGAAAAAGAGGGTTCAGAGTGCGCCTGTCCTGAGGTGGGAAAGGGCCTGGCAGGAAGCAAGGTCAGGCCAGGGGCCTGATCGCCTCTCCCTGCTTTCAGCAAGGAGACCCCGAGCTCACCCTCGCATTCCCAAAGGGGAGGACCTGTCACCAGGCCCCCAGAATGCCCATTCCCATGTCCCCCAGCCTGTCCAGCCCAGATTTCTCGATCTTTCTGAAACCACTTTATCCATTCCTATCCTTCATCGTCAACAAATGCTGCTAAGGACCCCAGATGCCCACAATGCCCTGCAAGCAGCTGCCACTCCCTGTTTTGCCCCCTTGCATGGAGAGAAGGAAGGTTCAGCTTAAAAGACAAAAGAGCAAACAAGTGTCAAGGTGAAATGCATGAACTGGGCTTCCTCCACGCAAATGCTGAAGCTGCTGCTGCTCACCTGCCCCCGGGGCCCCACGCACCCGAGCTGCAGGGGGAGCGCCTGGCTCCAGCACGCGGCCACGGGAACGGGAGCCAGACCCACTCCCTGCTCCGCCGGCATTTGTAGGAAAACGTACCGAAGAAGTCTGGGTTTCACCTGCTCAGATAAAGGCGAACTCAGTGCCCACCCGCTTGGGGACACTGCCTAAAACACTCCTAAAAAAGGACACAGGACATGCGCTAGAAGCACTTCCCAAGGCGCTCATCCTGAAACACTAGTCGCCCCTTGATGAGCTCTCCGGTCAGTCTGGGGAACCTGCCTCCCCCCCGGAGTCCCAGGGATGCGTTAGCTGAGGACAAGCTCTGAGAAGTCCGCAGCGAAGACGCCGTGAACCTCTGTTCCACCCCGTTTCCCAGGCCCACAGGCCTGCTGGCACGGAGGCCAGAATGTGTCGGCGGTCACCGTTTTTCATAAACACAAGGTTGTAGGGCCACCACCACACAGTTCCTCAGCCCCACCCCCGGGGCTGCCCCCTGCCCCTCAGACTCCAGGCCCAGCGGTGGGGCCCAGACCGCCCGCCCCAGCTTTCAGGGCCCTGTCAGACCCCACTGAAAAGCACCTGAGGCCACGCCGCCAAAGGAGAGGACGGGGGCTTCAGGCAGGCCCCGACCCCCCAGCTGTGTCCCCACACATAGGAGGACACGGCTGCTCTAGGCTGGGAACACACCTGCTGTGTCCACGGTCATGGCCAGCCGCTCCTACAACTACTGATGCTCATCAAGCCACGTCCAGTGGAGCTGGAGGCTGCCCGGCGGCCCCAGACCACCTGGCGCTCCGGCCCCACACTGGCCCCACGCCGGCCGGCATCCTGCTTCCTCCACGGCTGAAAGCCCAGGAATGACATGGGTCTGCGCATCCCGTTAGAATGTCCAGTGAAAAAGCAGAAGACAAAGCAAACCAGGCCTCATACCCAGGTCATCTGTACCAGCCAAAGACCTTCCAGAGGAAAAGCCTCCCTCTGAAGGAGTTGCCAGGGTCCTCACCCAGCATCCCCTCCAGGGACCAATGAGGCCCCAAGTACAGAGACTACCTACCAGGCTGGATACTCGGTTACCTCACCTGACCATCAAAGCCGTCAAGACAGAGCCTCGAACCCAATGTGTCTACTCAAAGGCTCCAGGAGAGGTCTGGGAGGCGGCTAGGGTAGGGCCCCCCGACCCAGATGTCCCCTCAGTGCCCTGGAGGGGGTGCAGATGAATGCCCAGCGCCCCCCGCTGGAGAAGCCCCCCAGCTGCCGTGGTCTCGTGAACCCAGCCACAAGGACTGCCGTGTCACTGGTTGCTGCCGTCCTGCAGTGTCAAATGTCAACTGGCAGCAACCCCACCTGCCTCTTCCTTCACTCTGCCCAAACCCCGAAACCCTGGTCTATACCGTCTAAAGCTGGAAAGAGCCCAGGAGAGCTGGTCACTGTCACCGGGCCCTCACTGCCACGAGGTGGGGGGACTGGCTCCGCCTGCGCACTGATTCCCAGAGGCCAGGAGACCAGCCTGTGGAGCTGCTTGGCGCCCCCTCACCCCTCAAACCTGCAGTGTTTGCCATCCAGACCCATCACTTACTCTGGCCAGAGACAACAGGCAGCGAGGGCCACCACTTCTGACGCCCTCAGTATCACGAGTTTGAGACCTACAAGACCCGCCCCGCCATGTTCCTCCCCAGCCCCGCCCACCTTGCTGTCCCCCATTCAGCCAGGCCACCAAATTGCCATGTCCCCAGAAAAGGCAAGGATATTTTCCTTCAGAAATGAGGGCTCGGCAGAATCTAGTTCCTGCCAGCAAATCTGTGACCAGACCCCGGCCACCATCTGAGAGCAATGGCCTAAGCCCGGGGGACATAAGAATGGTGTCTGGCCAGCAGGAAGTTCCAAGCACAGGGTCAGTCCTTGGGTGCCACGCCTGCCAACCCAAAGACCCATGCCTCTTGACCCACAATTCCAAATGCCAAAAGCTCTGAAAGCAGAACTTTTTAAATAATATATTTGCAGCAAACTCACCTGGTGATCCCACGTGACCTGATCTGTCCACTTAATGTGAATATTCATGTCTTGCCACAGAAATATTAATGTTTTGACTACGGGTACTGCCCCAGACCTCAAAAGCAGTGCTGGCATAATTTAGTTTTTTAAAATCCCAAATCTTCTGAACTGAGAAATAGTCTTGCCCATCCTGATGCAGCGACATGCAGCCCCCTACCTGTTCCCATGGAGCCTGGGGAGGGGGGAGGGGGGATACCCTGAATAAGCATGGGGTGGGGAGACCTGCCCCGGGGAAAGACCGCGCCCTCCTACCAGCCTCTCCCCAATGGCCTGCACCCTTCTCCCCAAACCCCAAAAAGCTCCCATTAGTCGTGGATGAGGAAGTTTCAACTCTCTGTCAACTGGCTCAGAGTCCACGCTGAGCAAGCGGCTCTGGCTGTGGCTGCAGGCCCCTCCCACATTCTTGAGCAATAGGTGTGGGGGGAGGGGTCAGGGAAGGGTATGGAAGCTGCGGAAATTAGAGAACTAATTCTGAAAATGTTTAACTCCTGACTCTGACCTTCCGAGAGAAAGTGGCCAATTGATTCCACTGACATCTACTGCCCAGGGGACAGGCCTGCGTGGGCCTCCAGGATGAACAGGATAGAGGCCCGGTAGCCCACGTGTTCCCAGAGCATCCTAAGGCCAGGTACCCAACCTGGAGGAACCTTATCCTCGCCATGTCCTATATTCCTCACGACAACCCCACCCAGGCACCATCACTGTCCCCCTTACAGGAAACTGGAGCCCAGAGAACGGAGGGCCATGTTCAGGTAAGCGGGCTGCCCCACCCAGACCCGACGGACACTCGGGCAGTTAGTCAGGGACCCTGCTCCGTCAGCCCTCTGCGTACAGCCCCACTCGCTCCGCCCAGCACGGGGAGGCTCAAGGTAGCATCCAACCCCAGGAGCAGCCTCCTGGAAGCACAGCCTCCTCGGGAAAGGAGACTTCCTCCTGGTGGCCACAGGAGGAGCGGAGGCAGGGCAGGGGTGAGATGCCCCAAACACCCGGCCAGCCACCTTCAGAGACCAAGTCACGTGCCCCGCTCAGGAGGTGCCTCTGCCCAGCCTCCAGCTCTCTCGGGGTCTCCACTCCAACAGGTCTCCCATGGGGGCGAGGAGCTGCCTTGTCGGGGACTGTGCTCAGGACCTCCACAGAGCCACCGGCCACTCCAGGTGCAGCCGTGAAGAAGCCCGATGACTTGGTAGCCATGGGCCTCCGAGCCAAGAGTGCAGGCCTGGCCAGGGCAGGGGCCTGGAGGCCTGGGGTTCTGGGGGCCTTCCCCCCTTAGGCCAGCGAGCCCCACGAGGCTGTGGACATGGGCAGGGTCTGTCCTGGTAGCCTGCTTTCTAACCAGTCCGGACATAACCAACTCCCCAAGGCTGTCACATGCCCCACCTCTCATGACCCCTCTCCACGCCACCTTGTTACCCCATGCCGAGTTACACCCTCAAGGCCTGCCTCTGCCCCGGAGAACTCTCCGGGTCACCAGCAGCCCGCAAGCTGACCTCCCAGCTCACATCCTGGCCCTTGCTGCCTCGACCTCCAGGCAGCATCTGCCCCTGACAGCTGTGCCTCGAGCCTCTATCTTGGCTTCCAAGACCCTGCTTGTTCCTGGATTACCTCCTACCTCTCCGCTCACTCCCAAAACTAAATATCCAACGATACCCGCCCAATGTCAGCGGAGAGTCTGGTGCGGGCCAGGCTCTGGGCCCACCTACCACACATTCCAGCCTTTGACCCCGCTGCCCCAGCACAGCCCAGGGTGAACCTGGCCAGACCCGGGATCCCAAATCCACAGTGCTGCCACTTCATCCTGCATCTAAAGACAGCCACACCCCCATGGGAGGACCAGATCAGAGGCCCAGGGGCCTTGGCAGAAGCCCCAGCAGGCCCAGGGCCGCAGACGGAGGTGCAATGAGGAGCTCACGCATTCATCTGCTGGGGTCGAAAGTCCTGTGGCGACTACAGAAGGAAGATGGAGTCAGGCTGCCTAAGGGAGGCGAGACAGAGGCAAAGAGACAAGTGACACAGGCCTCTTATGCCAGACCTCAGAGGGAATCACAGACGTGTGACCAGCAAATTTCTGCCAAGCTGCCAGGAGGGAAAGGGCCAGAGCTTGGCAGGCTGGATGGAAAGGGCAGCAGTGCGGTCACTAACAAGTGGCCTGTCTCCCAGCCCGACCACACCACACAGACCGGCCACACTGGGCCGTGCCCTGGGGAAACCTCTCGGCTCTCCCCAGAGAGGAGCCGTCCCGGGCCCACGCTCCCAGCCAGACCACGGGCCAGCACCGCTGCAAAGGCAGAGAGGGGCCTCTCGGGGTGAGGGGCCACCTACTCTCCAGCAGTGAGGACAGGGACACCCCCACGTGAAGAGCCCGAGTGTGGGGAGAGCCCTCACTGCTGGCGGCCGGCAGCCACCCGCTCACCCCCACAGAAAGGAGGGCCTGCAGGAGCACGCGCCTTGGGAGTCTGTTTGCTCCCAGCTCGGTCCCCCAAACTTGTTTCTGAGCACCCACTCCTCCTCACTGCCTGCCACCCACCGCCCAGGCAGAATGGTGACCCCAACATAAAAGGGAAGAAGCCTGTTCTCAAATGCCGACGCCCTCCTCTCAGCCAAGTGCAAGACCCTCCCCAGAGGGCAGAGCACAGCCTGACCTTGATCCGGATTTGGCATGACTGGGGGCCAAGGCAGAAGCCACAGGCCTCCAAATGGCACAGCTCCCAGCCCAGGGAAAGGGAGGCATCAGGAAACGTTCCCCACCCGGCAGTGGCCTGGAAGCCTCACAGCCCTGAATACAGCTCAGCCTTGGCTCCCCGCCTCCACCAGCCACGCGGCCCCTGCGGCTGGCGTCCACCCCTCCGAGCACAGGGGCCTGGGCTGAAGAGAGCCTCACAGACCAGCCCAGCAGACATCCCCACCTCCCAGATGGCAGCTGGTAGCTACAAGGCCAGGATCTGAACCCAGTTCCTCCGGCAGGCTAGGCGCTGCTGGGAGGTGGCAGTCAGACGTGGCAGGGAGATGCTAGAAGTCAAGCCCAACCCCTCTGCCCTGGCACCATCCTGACCCTCCTCAGATTTGGGACATCACTTGAAGAACCCTCACAAAACAAAAACCGGCCCTTGGAGTCTTCCAGCTGCGCTGAGCGGGGGACAGAAGGGCCATGCACGCAGCAGGGCTCCGAACACCCAGGACCAGCCTCAAAGCCAAGTACAGCAGGCTTCCGTCGCCCAGCTTAGTGCAACTTCCCAGGGTTCCCGGCGGCAACCTCCACAGGACCAAGCCTTGACCCTTGCCCAGCCCAGCAGCATGTGACCAGCCTCCGAGTCCCTGCCGCGTCTCATCTCAGCCCACTCATGTGCCTTCAAACCCCAATAGCTTTCACATCCCCTCATACCACATGGAAGGTGGCATTCAAAAGTCGGCCACTGGTCTGCCACCCTCCTCACAGTCCCAGCCCTCCCCTTCACATTCTCCAAAGGCCTAAGTTGTGTCAGAAAAGATACCCTTTTCGGATTTGCAAACGAGGTCCCCTGGCTGGCTCTCCCGGGCCCACAGCCCCCGTGACTGGGTTAAGGGTGGCTCTGGGGCTCTGGCGCTTTGCCACCATCTCCATCCTGCCCTCCTGCTTCCCAGGACCTGGTCCCCCACACAGCTGCTCTTGTGACCCTGGATCATGAACTTCCCTCTGACTCCACTCCGGGCCTTTCAGATGCGCATTTGAAATGAAGTCGGAGCTAAACCAGGTTCCCAGTCCCACCTCGGAGACTGGAACTTCCTCCTCCCAGACAGGAAACACGGTCCCTGCCAAGTCTGCGCTGACTTTCCAAACGGACCAAGCACTCGACTCGGTCAAGGGCAGGGACCAGGTCATCCCTGAACTGGAATCAAGACTCGCACACGACAGGCATCTAGCCCGCCGCACAAACAGCCCTCGGACGATTCTGGCGGCTCTTCTGAGGGTGTGAAAAACCACTCCTGCTCCAAAGAACGAACTGTGGCGTTTTCGTCCTCACGCAGCTAGCTGCCCTGCTGCCCCGGTCTCCTGGCCCCCCAGCTCCTAGCAAACACACTGGCCTTCCGAGTCAAGGCTCTCCCTCCCAGCACGGCCAGCAGCCACTTCCCAGGGGAAGGGGACCTTCACCACCTTTGAGGAGCAAGCGCAGAGCGAACTCGCAGGTCCCAGAACTGGGCATGAGGCTGTCGGTCCAACTGTTAACATTTCTGCATTCCCCTCACTTGGGACTCCATGGCCCAAAGGGAACTCACCCCGCTTGCCCCATGAATCATGTTCAGTTCCCAGACTGATGAACCCACCCCCTCCCACACCACAGCTTGTCCTAAGCCAAGACTGACCGGCCCCAGCCACTACGCTTTGTAAAGCTCTGGGTGTGTGTACTCTTAGAGGCTCCTGGGGGCCCCTCTGACATACCTGCACACTGGGCAGCCGCCGACGACAACGATGGAATTAGCAGGGTACCGGGTGACATTTCGACTGTGGATGCTGTAGACCCTGGGGTGGTGAGTGGGTAGCCCTGTGATCAAGAAGGCATATCATCAAGGGGCCAGGAATGAAGATCAGGGGACTTGGAGGACCACCTCTGTCCTCTCTCTCCATCCTCTACCGCCCCCTCTAAAAAACTCCATTTCAAATACAAGACCACAGCTGCCTTCACTAAGTGCCTCCTAGGAGCTTTACTAGGTGCTAAAGTGCAGACAAGACGTCATCAATAAAGTTAATTTGAAACGGGGTTGTGCTGCGTCCCGGGAAGGGCGAGCCTAGCGCGCACAACCCCGAGGTGGGCTGAGGGTGCTCGGGTAGCGCCCAGCTGCAGAGCCCGACAACAGCTTCCTGGTGCGGGAGCTTTGCCCCCGACTCTTCCCCACGGGCCACGACTCCGGAGCCCCGCGTTCCTGGCACCGGGTCTGCCCCTCGGCAGCGCCCGGCCGCGGCTGCGTCCCGAGTAAAGTTGGTTTCGGGGTTAAAGGTCGCCATAGGACTGACTCGCCCCAAGTTTACTGGCGGGACCAAGGGCCCCGCGCCCCGTCCGCTCGGCCCGCCCCCGGCCCCGCCCTGGGCCCCTT